CGTCGCGTCTGAGCTGGTTGCACGCCTCGCTCCTCCATCAGGCACTCGCTCTTATAGGGAAGTGAAAGGGTGGGGGGGGGGGGTCATGGGAAGAAAAAAGAGGGGGAAGGAGAAAGGGGGGGGAGGCGGTCGAGGTAGGTTTTACAATGGAATGGCTGGGGGGGGGAGTGGCAGACCCTTAATTTACGGTAAGGATGGCTTTTGTCCTGTCCGCCGATGGTATTACAAAACACCTAAACCACAAGAAGTCTGTGGCTGATACCAATCATCCTGACAACGGGGCGCTCGCGGAGAAGAATCACAGGACCGACACAGCTACTGTCACCAGCCACAGGAACACTCACACGAAAGCGCGAATTAAATCTTCTGGTCCCGTGACTGCCATTTCGCGATGACTGTGATTTATATCAAAACCGTAACGGCGATTCCTCCTTTCACTGTCTGCAATCGTCAGCAGAATACTATAATAGAATTGATGCCCTGTTTTTTTCGGAAGTTTATCGTTATTTTGATACATCGTCGTTCCTTGGAAATAAACTGTAAAATCTTTATATTATCTTTATATTCACGATTCCGCTTCTTTCTATGCTCGATACTCTTCACCAAAATCATCCATTTACATATACCTGTTCACAAATCCACTTAATATCCACGATATCCGTTCGCATAGCCCCTTCCATCCCTACTACCCGTGGGCAATTCCATCTTTTTACCCTCGCGATACCTGTTCACAAAACGTCACCTTCACTCCCTCGTCCTCGCAACAAATGCCGTCGCCAAACACTCCACTTTCTCTCAAAAAAAAACGACCTCACCATCATTCGTGGCCGCCCTTAAGAGTACGCCGGGGCAGGCAAGCCATATCCGCCTCTGATTTAGCACCGGAATAATAAAATTAAACATCAATACAAAGGGCTTTCTGGAGTGAGTTATAGCGAGCCTCTACAACCCGCCAAAACTTTCCTTCCCGCGCACAAAAGAAGAAGCACATGTACCTCGTCGTTCAGGCACGTTCCTCCCTCTATTCTTACCCCAAGAATTATGTTTATATCCCCCAAGCCCCCACCAGATTATAGACAAGGTCTTTTTATTCTTTTTTTTTCCATTCTTTCTTTTTTTCGTCTTCGTTCTAACCCATTCTCAGAAATACATCATTCCGCGCCGAGGTTGACCCGCCGACCTCGAACGGGCGGGTCTGAGTGATGGAGAGAGAGAGACGCGGCTTCAACACGTTGTTTGCATCAGGGAGGTGAGTGGGCATCTCTCTCCCGAAGCAGGTTTTCTTTCCTGATTTTCTTTCCACGAGATGGAATCTCTCATAATCTCACATAATCTATCTTAATCTCTCTTAATCTCTCTCTCTCTCTCTCCTTCTCTCTGCCTGCCTGCCTGCCTACCTGCCTGTCTGTCTGTCTCTTCCTCTCTCTTCTTATCTCTTCTTCTCACTCCCTCTCTCTTCTGCTCTCTTCTGCTCTCTCCTTCTCTTTATCCCTCTATCTCTCTATATCCCACTCCCTCTCTCTCTTTCTTCCTTCATCTCTCTCTCTCTCTCTCTCTCTCTACCCACTAGTTCCCTTTAGTTTAATTCTCCCCAGTGACCGTAAGTCAAAATCATGCTTAACTTCTCCTCCAGACGTAATTACCAGCTAGGCCAGTGGAGGCAAACCCAACAGGCGACGGATGACGAATGGGCAAGATAAATCACGGGAAATAAATTAACCGCAATCCAGGTCTGGCTTATTGCTATTTTTTTTCCCGACGGAGAGGGTGTGGGAATTGAGGGCGCTAATGGAAAGGGCGAGAAAAGGAGGGGGGGGAAGGAGGATGGCAGATTCGAGGCGGAGGGAAGTGGAAGGAGGAAGAAGAGAAGAGGGGGAGGGAAGGGGGGAAGACAATGATTCTCGGCAGATGAATCGAGGCAAGATGGAAAGAGGAAGGAAAGGATGTTAGAGAAGGCACGAGGGTAGAGACAAAGACGGATTGGAGAAGGCAGAAAGGACCAAAGAGGAGCAGAGAGGACTAAGGAGGAGTAGGAGGGGCAGAGAAGGAGGGTTAAGGAGTGATCCAAAAGACCAGGAATGGGAAATGAAGAACGGAATGGACTGAAGAGGACCAAGGAAGGGCAGGATGGGCAGAGGAGGAGAAGGAAGGGGAAGGTAAAGCAGAGTGAACCAAGAAGAACAAGGAGGGACAGAGAAGAAGCAAGATGGGCCGAGGAGGAGCAGGATGGACTAAGGAGAAGCAGGATAGGCCAAGGAGGAGGAAGATAGCCCAAAGAAATGCAGGATCACCGAAGGAAGAGCAAGATGGGCCGAAGAGGAGCAGGTGCCGAGGAGGAGCAGGTGCCGAGGAGGAGCAGGTGCCGAGGAGGAGCAGGTGCTAGGAAGGTCGGGCGAGGGAAGAGAGGCGCACGTCGGGGCTCCTCTCCTGGTGTGATCTGTCGCAATAAACCAGCGCACGTGAGAGAGCGCTGATGATGTGCGAGGAGGGCTCTGGGGCGGCGCAGCTGGGGTTGCTTATATTAGAAACGGCGAGCTGCTGTGTAAATACACTCGGGGATATATGAACTGACAAGAGACACTGCCACGGCACATGGGTGTGTGCATCCACGCCCACAGCCGCACAAACAAACTTATGGTAATGTAAAACGAACCGTGTTTTAGTTGGTGTTTTAGCCAGCTTGAAGCTGTCTATATAACGGATCCAGAAAAAAAAACCTGAGCTGAGGAGGTACCTCTACTGGGCTTTGCTTGAGGTACCGCCATCAGTCTCCATGTGGGGTATCACCATCAGGCTTCTTGTGAGGTACCACCGTGAGGCTTGAAGTGACAAAAGAAAACAAGACCAGATCTTGACATAGACCTTGCTGGTCTTGGGGCGTCTCTCTTACACAGATAACCATTGCAAATACCTAACATACCTCCATGCAGCGTGTGTTGACTCCAGCCGGCAAACACACTTGTCTCTGGGAATTTGTTGCAAAAAGAACTAACTTGTTTCCAATGGGCGGTGACCCCCCCCCACTCTCCCTCTCTAACTATGCGAGATCTGCAGAGTCATCGGACTTGACATTGTCACCCCGAGGTTGGCAAGGTACGCGACTCAAACAGTGTAAGGCATCGTCAAAGAAGCAGGGATACATAATGGAAAACAGAAAAGGAAAGATGGATAAAAATAAGGGAATGTAGAAAAGGAGAAGAGGGAGGAGGGAGGGAGGGAGAGAAAGGGAGAGAGAGGAAGAGAGAGGAAGAGAGAGGAAGAGAGAGAGAAAGAGAGAGAAAGAGAGAGAGAGAGAGAGAGAAAGAGAGAAGAGAGAAAGAGAGAGAGAGAGAGAGAGAGAGAGAGAGAAAGAGAGAAAGAGAGAGAGAGAAAGAGAGAGAAAGGAGGAGAGAGGAAGAGAGAAAAGAGAGAGGAAGAGACAGAAAGAGAGAGAGAGAGAGAGAGAGAGAGAGAGAGAGAGAGAGAGAGAGAGAGAGAGAGAGAGAGAGAGAGAGAGAGAGAGAGAGAGAGCCATATGTATTTAATAAAAGACTACCTAACAATGAAAGATGATAATGAGCAGGGGCGCTGTGATAATGCAGTGGTATCTGAAGGATGATGATGGATGACGGAGGCGCCGAAGGAGTGTGATAAAGGCCGTGGGGAACGATCGAGAGAATGGCGCAGAAGATTTAGTCCGTTTTGAAGATTAGTGTTGGATGTGAAGGGGCTCCCATCCCCTCCACCCACTTTAATCTCTCTCTCTCTCTCTCTCTCTCTCTCTCTCTCTCTCTCTCTCTCTCTCTCTTTCTCTCTCTCTCTCTCTCTTTCTCTCTCTCTCTCTCTCTCTCTCTCTCTCTCTCTCTTTCTCTCTCTCTCTCTCTCTCCCCTCTCTCTCTCTCTTTCTCTCTCTCTCTCTCTCTCTCTCTCTCTCTCTCTCTCTCTCTCTCTCTCTCTCTCTCTCTCTCTCTCTCCCTCCCCCTCCCTCCCTTTATCTCTCTTTCTCTGTCATTAACATCCTTCATAGTTAGATAAGCTTTGGTTTTACAAATACGAAATTCTTTTTCTCAAAAGAAGGGAAAAAGAAGGAAGGGAGAGGGAGAGAAAGAGAAAGAAAGAGAGAGAGAGAGAGAGAGAGAGAGAGAGAGAGAGAGAGAGAGAGAGAGAGAGAGAGAGAGAGAGAGAGAGAGAGAGAGAGAGAGAGAGAGGGGGGGGGGGGGGCATAATTCCATCACGAACATCCATTTTCACTATCAATCTTATTGCGACCAAATTAATTATCATAATCAGCCTAATTCGGGTGTTAGTATAGACACCATTACCCAAATGACGTGATTATGTTATTACAACAACAATAACGATTCAGAATCTGCACAATGGGATCACGTCTTACGAGAAAGTGTAATTCCTTTACGCTTATAGTGACATCTACCGTAGTCATTACCCACGTTCGCTTCATTCTCCCATCCTTTGTACTTTCTTCGCATGCCGTGTCTCCGCGCATTTCATATTTTCGTCCCACGCTGTATTCATGTTCTCCTCTTTTGTACTTTCTTCACACGTGGTACCTTCGCGCATTTCATATTTTCTTCGCACGCTGTATTCATGTTCTTTTGTACTTTCTTCACACGTGGGGCCTTCGCGCATTTCATATTTTCGCCGACAATGAACCCGTTTTGCATTTCCCGCGCGTCCCGTATCCCCATTGCCATTTACTCCCCTGACATGTCCATCGCCACCTGCACCTCAGCGACGCCTACTTCCGTTCACAAACACATCGACCGACGCCCCAGAACGCCAGACACCTGCAAGCTATTCCTCGAGACTCCTCCGCCTCGAATACTCAAGTGCGGACACGTCTGGCAGGTACGTCCGCGACAGCTGAATGAATAGGTGACAGGTGGGCGGGACAGAGGCTACATTCGTAATGGACGCTCGCATATTGGGTGAATTCGCGGCAAAGGTTCGGGGGGTACAGCTTCGCGCGGGGTACAGCGTCTCCCACGGGACAGAGGGTACACTCACACAGCTCGTAAAACCGGTCGGTACATGCATAGTAAGCACGCGCAAAGTGGATCTGAGTTCTGGAGATCTGCGCTGGGTACTTCATGGGAGAGGGCTGCCCAGGGTACGTAGGGGAGAGGGCTGTCCACGGTACGTCGGGGAGAAGGCTGCCCAGGGTACGTCGGGGAAGAGGGCTGCCCAGGGTACGTCGGGGAAGAGGGCTGGGCAGGGTACATCGGGGAAGAGGGCTGCCCAGGGTACGTCGGGGAGAGGGCTGCCCAGGGTACGTCGGGGAAAAGGGCTGGCCAGAGTACGTCGGGGAAGAGGGCTGCCCAGGGTACGTCGGGGAAGAGGGCTGCCCAGGGTACGTCGGGGAAGAGGGCTGGCCAGGGTACGTCGGGGAGAGGGCTGCCCAGGGTACGTCGGGGAGAGGGCTGCCCAGGGTACGTCGGGGAAGAGGGCTGCCCAGGGTACGTCGGGGAGAGGGCTGCCCGGGGTACGTCGGAGAGAGTCGAGGAGAGGGCTGCCCAGGGTACGTCGGGGAAGAGGGCTGCCCAGGGTACGTCGGGGAGAGGGCTGCCCAGGGTACGTCGGAGAGAGGGCTGCCCAGGGTACGTCGGGGAGAGGGCTGCCCAGGGTTCGGGTGCGCATGCCGCGTGTGCAGTGACCTCACCTCGCTTATCTGGCATCAGGACAGTAACCCTCGCCTGCCAGCCGCGAGGACCCGTCCGCCGGGGTGCTGGCGCGTCTATGGGTGGCTGGGCGGGCTGGGCCGGCGAGGCGGGAGGGCTTCGTGGCCAGAGGAACAATGGGCGGCCGGCGCGGATGGATGGCGGGCGATGCAGATGCTCAGCCGGACGATAAATTCCGGAATCATCCCCTAATTCAGACAATGGCAAGGGCAAGCTAATAAATCCGATAATATAAGAATTCTCGCAATATCTTTGCAATATCGTAAAAAAAAAAAGCCACCGAGTGTCAAGAGAAAACAATGGAACGCCAGTCACTTTTCGCTCAGGTAACTGCCGATCGAAAATTGCAATTATAATTCCGTCCGAGCGATCAACTGTTTGACGATTGGCGGAAATGACGCTCTCGCCCTTCAACTTCTCTTCGTCACCCGTGATAAAAAGAACCATCATTTAAACACACGGCGGGAATTACACCTCCTCCTTGCGCAATTATCCCGAATTTATTAGATTTAGAAGTTCTTTCAGCGTCAAGTGCAATCATTTCGGGAAAAATTACGACTCTCGCTTGAGAATAGATTCTTTTTTTTCGAGAGAAAGTCTAACCTCCTCACTGAGCAACCGTGCTTTTCTCGCTTACCTGTCATACAAACGCTAATCTTTGGCAAGTGAAATCTTAGTTTAGATTTAGATAATCACATAATCTTGCAGAAATTAACAGACTGGTTATTGACATACATTTAACACGGATGAAAGAAGAGTAATTGAGAGACACGAAGAGGGGAGAGAAACAAGCCCCACAGATGGAGATCTCTTCCTAGAGGCTCAAGGAGGAAGATCAGGAAGATTAGGAGGAGGAAGAGGAATAAGAGGAGGAGGAGGAGGAGGAGGAGGAGGAGGAGGTGGAGGAAGAGGAATAGAGGAGGAGGAGGAGGAGGAGGAGGAGGAGGAGGAGGAGGAGGAGGAGGAGGAGGAGGAGGAGGTGGAGGAGGTGGAGGAAGAGGAATAAGAGGAGGAGGAGGAGGAGGAGGAGGAGGGGAGGAGGAGGAAGAGAGGAGATGCAGGAGATAAGGATAAGGACGAGAAGAAGTAAAAAAAGGAGAGAAGGAGGCAGAGCACGGGGAAAGGGAAGATCCACCTCCGACCTGCACGAAGTTCCTCCAGCAGATGTCTCCCAGGGCTCAATTAAGGGCCATTTGGTGGGGGTATGTCGGGCATGCTTAGACTGTCACCAAGAGGTCCTCGCCGCCCATGAGTCGTCAAAGGAGATTGCTTTGCGCTCCTTCCACGGCCACATCCATCCAGGTTTTACAAGCACACACACACAATAATAACAGTAATAATAATGATGATGATGATGATAGTAATAGTGATAATGATGATAATTAATAATAATAATAATAATAATAATAATAATAATAATAATAATAATAATAACATTAATAATAATGATACTAATAATAACAACAATAATAATAATGATAATAATAATAGCAATAATAGTAATAATGATAATAATAATAATAATAATCACAGAAAAAAACAACTCCTGACCGAGCCAATCAGAGCCCACGCTTCAACACGACCGCCTTTTTTCCCAGAATCCTAATTTATGTTGCCAGTGAATTAAAGACCGCAGTGCCGTCCAGGCGACCACCCAGCGACCACCTCGGCCTGTCGCAACTGCCGGCCTCCCAACAGACGCCAGACGCCGCCCGAACCGCCCATTAACCATCCTTACTACGCCCATTTTGCCATTCTTCTACATCTCAGATTGTCTTCGTTTTCGTTGCTGATTTTTTTTTGTTTTTTGTTTTTTGTTTTTTGTTCAGTGTTTAGGTTTATTTTTCTGTGGTTGAAGAAATACGTGCATGTGAAGTGAGGGTGGAGGAGGAGGAAGAGGTGGAGGGGGAGGGGGAGGAGGAGGAGGAGGAAGAGAGGGAGGGGGAGGAAGAGGAAGAGGAGGAGGAGGAGGAGGAGGAGGAGGAAGAGGAGGAGGAGGAGGAGGTAGAGGAGGAGGTAGAGGAGGAGGTAGAGGAGGAGGTGGAGGAGGAGGTGGAGGAGAAAGGGGAAGAAGAGGGTGAAATAAATAAATGAAGAACGAAAGAAAGACTGAAAAAGACGAAGATGAAGACAATGAAAAGGAAAGGAAAGAGACGAAGACAAAGAGAAAAGTCAGATTTAACAGCACCCTCTGAGGCACTCTGAGACCGCTGTAAATTCCTGCAACTTCGTCCAACTTCTCTTCAGCTGAATCAACCTCACCGGTTCATCCTCCTTCATCGGTGGCATAAAATCGGCGGCATCTTGGCCTTATCAATCTCTACCCCCCCCCCTGTGCCATCTGTCCTTCTCGCCCCACCTGACCTCTCGCCACCTGTTTGGAAGCTGATTGATGTGTGTGCGTGTGTGTGTTTGTGTTTGTGTGTGTGTGTGTGTGTGTGTGTGTGTGTGTGTGTGTGTGTGTGTGTGTGTGTGTGTGTGTGTGTGTGTGTGTGTGTGTGTGTGTGTGTGTGTGTGTGTGTGTGTGTGGATGGGTGGTCGGGTAAGTGGGTGCATTCACCCTGGATTTATCTATTGACTTTTTTTCATTCATTATTTTTTTTCGAGTATGTATGCGCACGCACGCGCGTTCTTTCATTACCGTGTGGGAGTGAATGTGTCGTGAACCTGTTTCTGCCAGCGTCTTCAGAAGGAGGCTCGGGGAACAGCCGCGTAACACTGAACGCTTATTCACAGCGCTCTTTTTCCTTCACGCCGCGTTTTCCGCTTATACTTTCACATTTCCAGCGGCCGTCCGGGTGTGTTTGTGTACGTGCGTGTCCGGTGTAAATAAGCAAAGGGATCGTGCTTCTTCTGTTAGTAACGGATGCTGGGAAAAGGGCGTTTGCTGCGGCCAGAAAAGGTGGTGCTCGATCAGGCTGAGGAATACATTTGGCGAAGAAGAAGAAGACGAAGAAGAAAGAGAATACGAGGTGAAGAGGAGGAGGAGGAGGAAAGTGAAAATGAAAAGGAGAAGGAAGAGGAAGAGAAGGAGGGGAAGGAGGAAAGTGAAAAGGAAGAGGAGGAGGGAGAGGAGGAAAGTGAAAAGGAAGAGGAGAAGGAGGAGGAGGGGGTGGAGGAGAAGGAGGACGACGACGGCGAAAAAAATCGAGGACGAAGAAGAAGAAAAGAACGAAGCCAACAACGTCACCAAATTCCTTCCTTTTCTCCTCACCTCCTTCGTCTCCTTTTCACTCCGTTACGCTTCGACTGACTAAAATGCGTTTGCGTTTCTCGTTTCCCTCCCCGACGCTCTCTCCTTCTCCGCTGACCCGTCACCACCGCACCGGCGCCCCGAGCACTCTGCCGTGACCTGGGTTGGGTGACGCCTTTGCACGTGACCTCAGAGCTGTCACGTTACCCTCCCTCCCCCCTCACTTACCCCCCCCCCTTCCCTTGGTACAGAACTGTCACATTATTCCCCCTTCCTCTCCTTCCTATTTATTACATCTTCACAGTTAATTAAAGCGTCACGTATGTTCAGATCATCGAGTTAACACCTTAGTCCCTTAGGTCCAGAGAGTCACGTTATTGACCGTCCCTTACGAGCCGCCAGTCCTCCAGATCTCTCAGATTCAGAGCGTTACGTCACCCCTCCCCCCCTTCATCAACCCCTAACCCCCCTCTTAAGGTCCGAAGCGTCACATCAACCCCTAATACCCCCCCCCCCCACCTAAAGATTCACAGCGTCATATTAACCTCGAACCTCCCCCCCCCCCCCTTAAGATTCGAAGCGTCAAGTCAACTCTTACCCCCCCCCCCCCACCATTAAGATCCAGAGCGTCACGTCAACTCCCCCACCCCCCACACACCCCCGTCTCAGGTTCAAACTGTCCCCCCCCCCCCCCTCCGTCACGTACCCCGTCACGCCGCCCACAAACAACCGCCGCAAGAAAGCCGTTCTGTCATCGGGAGTTCCGCCGACAGTCACGCCGAATGCCATTTCTCTGCGGCGAATCAAGCATCTCGGTGTCAAGTCCCGACAGCCTTTGTGACATGCTCTCTCTCTCTCTCTGTCTCTCTCTCTCTCTCTCTCTCTCTCTCTGTCTGTCTGTCTGTCTGTCTGTCTCTCTCTCTCTCTCTCTCTCTCTCTCTCTTTTGGATCAATGACATGATATCTTATTTGCATCGATATGTTTTTATTTCGATTTACATGAACGAAACGATCTCTTAATTTTTTTTAATCAACGATATTCCTTTCTTTGATCAGTGACCCAGTTCCTTCCTACTGTTACCGACACGATTTTTTATTTTCATCAACGACATGATTTTTATTTGCATGAAGGAAATGTTTTTTTTTAACCATATGTACTTTTTTTAAACCGAAACGTTCAATACATTAAACTAAATATATAATGTGAAATCCAAATCCAAACCTTTATAGAAATTAAGTACAATATGACATAAAATTTCCGGAGAAAAAAAAAATATTCCTTAAAACCCTAAAAATCCTAAAGGGTAGCGATCACCTCATTAAAACTTCGAATCTTCCCTAAATCCCTCACTCTCCCAATTGTCACTTCGGAAAAAAAAAATTCACTTCACTCGCACCTTCATGAAGTTACGGTAAAGTTCGGACTTTGTGGACCACGGAAGGATTCACAACTTGCGAACCACTAAAGCAATTCCGGAAGGCGATCTGTTGCCTCGGATGCATAACGGGGATTTGTACATGTTGTCGTCGGTGTTGGATTGACTCTCGTGCGTAAAATAAACGTGTTGTCTCTGTTTCTGTGTGTTTCTTCTTTTTTTTTTCTCTCTTTCTTTCCGGTTTCCTCTCCCTTCCTCAACGTTCTCTTTCTCTTTGTTTGTCTCTTTCTCTTTCTCTCATATTTTTATCTTTCTTTCTCCTCCCTTCACATAAACACACACAGACACACACACACACACACACACACACACACACACACACACACACACACACACACACACACACACACCTACATCCATACACCCCTCCCCCACACCCTCCATACCCCCTCCCCCACACTCCCCATACCCACTCCCCCACACTCTCCATACCCCTCCCCCCCACACATTATTACACGCTACACCCCATAGTGGACATCCCTGACCGCCCTCTGCACGGGGGACACAGATGGACGCGTAGGAAGCACGCCCAATCAGGAAGTAGCAAGCACAGGTGCAAGCGTGGGACCCGTGCAACAGGTGCATGCAGGTGACTCGAGTGGAATGGAGGTGCTCACTCTTGCATTCTCTTCTCTCACAAGAAATTCATTAGCTACTTAAAACGGAAAAGAAGGGAGACTTGAGGGAGAGGAAAGAGGAAACGGATGAGGTAAGGGAAGAGAGAAAAAGGTAGGGAGGAAAGACAAGAGAAGAGAAAGAGAGGATATATGGGAAAAAGAAAGGTAAAGAAGAAAAGGTAAGGAGGAAAGACAAGATAAGGAAAAGAAAGGGAATAAAAGAGAAAGGAAAAGAGGAAAGTATTGACAAAAGGCATAAAAGAAAGCATTAAAAAGGGAGGAAACAAAGGAGAAAGAAGAAAAAGGACAGAAAAAGGAAAGGAAAGAGAGGGGAGAAAAGAAGAAAAAGAGAAGGAAAGGAAAGAGAGAAAAGAAAAGAAGAAAAAGAGAAGGAAAATAGGGAAGATAAAAAAAGAAAAGGAAAAAAACAAAAGAAAACGAAATAAAAAGGAAAAAAAGGGAGGAAAACAAAACAAAACATAACGAAATTAAAACCTAAAGAAACCTAAAAAAAAAAAAAAAAAAAAAAAAATTCTCGCAGCTGTTCAAGCAAAGAAACCAGCTTTCCAAAACCAGAATGGAAGCACATTTCAACCGCCCCATCAAAGCTCACGTTGGCTGTACCCGTCGATTACGTGTTCTTATAATTGCGCACATGAACCGAGCACCGGACCTGTTTTAAGCTCTTTCCATTATGTATTTATGCAGCGCGTGTTTATTCCTTTGCTTATCTCTCTATTAGTATTCTTGCTTGCTTGCTTGCTTGCTATCTCCGAGCCAAGCCAATCCCGGGGATCTAGTGCAAGTCTTGTTTATATCTATGCTTCCTTGTTTGTTTATGCTAATCGTTATATTCTCCCTCACCCTTACCCCCTGTAGATATATTTCAAAGCGGAATATGACGTTGCATTCTATCGCGAAGGAACGGGGGTCATGATCGCCGTGAACGTGAGAACACAACCTGCCGATTGGGTGGGGTGGGGGTGGGGTGGGGGTTGGAGGGTGGGAGTGGGGGTTATTGGGGGTGGGGGGGTTGGGGGGGGGGGTCGAACGGGCTGAACAAGGCAGCCTCGTAAGGAAACCTCGGAGGATTTGATTAGCACGGTGGATGTCCGGGGCGAAAAAAAAAAAAAAAAAAAAAAAAAAAAAAAAAGATTCATGGGGGAAAGGTTTAAGATAAGAGAGATAAAAAGGTAAGATGATGATGAAATGAAAAAAAAAAAAAAAAAAATGAAAGTGGTTAAAAGTGAGATATCTTTTGGCAAGAGAAAAGAATAAATAAGACAGAAATAAATACGAAGTGATTGGAAAACCATTATAGAGAAACGTTAAAATAGTAAAAATAAAAACTGATAGTAAAAAAAAAAAAAACACAATCTGAATACTGAGATATGTAAATAAACAAAAAAACAACAACAAAAAAAAGACAGGAAAATAGGAGAAAAAAAATCAAGACGAAAATAGAAAAAAAAAACAGTCAAGAAAACAGGAAATTAAAAAACCAAACAAACAGACCACAAAAACTGAAATTCAACGGAGGGGGGGGGAGGGAGGGAGGGAGGATGTCTCACCTCATCTCCACCAACAAATGTGGTTGTCCTGGTCCGGCCTCCTCCTCTTCTGGTCACGAGGCCCGCTTACTCAAACCATGATTTACATTTATTTCACTTTCACTTTCCCCTCGCCCGGTCTCTTCCCTTGCTACCCCCCCTCCCCCCCTCACCCACTCTTCCCCTTCCTCTCCTCCCCCCCCCCCCCCCCCCCGCTGCTGGTAGCCTGTGCTTGACCTTTTGCCAGTTGGGTTTGCTTGGTCCACTTCTCTGTTTGTTTTTCTGTTTGTGTTTTTGTTTGCGTTTGTTTGGGCTGCTTGGTTTCGTTGTTTGTTAAGGTTTAGGTGCAGTTTGTTGGTGATTTTTTTGTATTATCGATAATCTTATTGTGATTTGTTTTTTGTCTTTGTATTCAACGGTATTGGATACTTTCTCTCTCTCTCTCTCTCTCTCTCTCTCTCTCTCTCTCTCTCTCTCTCTCTCT